CTGTGTAGTCTAGGCTAGCCCAGAACTCAAGATCCAAATGCCTCAGCCTCCTCAGTGCTGGGCGCATAGGCTTGTACCACTGTGCTCAGCTGAGAGGTTTTTTTTTTTTTTTTTGAGTGGGGGACTGGTACTGGGGCATGAGCTCAGGACCTGGAGGATGCTACCCCTTAGCTTTTTCATTCTATTTAGCACTCTACTACCTGAGTCGCTACTCCCAGCTTTTTTTGTGGGGGGTCCGGTCGTGGGGCCTGAACTCTGGGCCTGGGCGCTGTCCCTCAGCTCTTCAGCTCAAGGCTAGGGCTCTACCATTTGAGCCACAGCGCCACTTCCGGCTTTTTTCTTTTTGCTTATGTGGTGCTGAGGACTCGAACCCAGGAGCTCATGCATGCAAGGCAAGTGCTCTACCACTGAGCCACCTTCCCAGCCCCATACTTCCAGCTTTTTTAAATTGGAGACTTTCTTGCTGATGCTTCAAACCATTATCTTTTGATCTCAGCTTCCTGAGTAGCATTGTAGGCATGAGCCATGGGCACCTAGTTAAGAGACAGGACATTTTTGATGCTTGTGATCATTATTTCCTGTGATACCCTTAGAATTATTCTGTAATGTTGAAACATATTGACAGTGAGGTTTACTTAGCATTTCTCTGTGGATTAAGATTTTGTGTCATTTCCTTCTTAAAAAGTCAGGTGGTAGCTGGGAAGGTGGCTCAGTGGTAGAGTGCTTGCCTTGCATGCATGAGGCTCTAGGTTCGATTCCTTAGCACCACATAAGCAGAAAAAGCCAGAAGTGGCGCTGTGGCTCAAGTGGTAGAGTGCTAGCCTTGAGCTGAAGAGCTGAGGGACAGCAACCAGGCCCAGAGTTCAAGACCCACAACTGACAAAAAAAAAGAAAAATAGCTGGTTAGCCAGGCACTGGTGGCTCATGCCTGTAATCCTAGCTACTCAGGAGGCTGAGATCTGAGGATCCTGGTTCAAAGCCAGCCTGGGCAGGAAAGTCTGTGATACTCTTACCTCCAATTGACCACCAGAAAATAAAAAAGTCACACACAAAAAAACAAAAAACCACACAAAAAGTCAACTGGCTATTTAGTGCCTGCCTGAAAATCACCAAAATGCCACAACATATTTGAAAATTCTATAATATTGCCGGACGGCCTTTCATTGCATTGCCCTACACACCACAACCAAACTTCTATAACTTGTCACTTTTGAAAGACAGCTTTTCATTTGCCTAGCTGAGCTTCTCAATTCCTGAGACTTACAGGTGTGCATGGCGAGGACCTGGCCACCTTCTAGATTTCAAGTCTTAGCAAAATGCTTGTGAGAATATTTCAAGGTAGTGGAAGGCAAATTTAAATTAAACGAATGTGTTACTAAGAATAGAACATAATTTTTAGTAGCAATTGCAGAAGCCCCTCTAAGCATGTGAGTTCACACAAACACATAAGTCCTCATGCTAGCTATGGGTACAACGTCAAGGCCATTCCTTGTAACTGATTAGGGCCTATCAATATCAATTTAAGATACTGTGGAAGTGTGGCTGAAGTGGTAGAGTGGCAACCTTGAGCAAAAAAGCCAGTCAAGAGCTGAGTTCAAGCCCCTGTACTATCATACATGCACACAAAAGATGCTTCTCACAAATTTCAAGAAGTGGGATTTATTATTATGAAAATGAATAGTTTATCTGGGAGATGGTAGCTCAAACCTGTAATACTAGATACTCAGGAGGCTGAGATCTGAAGATCATGGTTCAAAGCCAGCCTGGTCAGCGAAGTCTGTGAGACTCTTATCTCTAATTAACCACCAGAAAACCGGAAGTGGTACTGTGGCTTAAGTGGCAGAGCATTTACCTTGAGCTGACAGCACCCAGGCCCAGGCCCAGGGTTCAAGCCCCAGGACTGAAAAAAAAAAAGGAAATAAATAGTTAAAAAATTTTCATTTTAGCCAGGTGCCAGTGGCTCACGCCTGTAATCCTAGCTACTCTGGAGGCTGAGATCTAAGGATCGTGGTTCAAAGCCAGCCTGGGCAGTAAAAGCTGTGAAACTCTTATCTCCAATAAATTACTCAGAAAACCAGAAGTGGCTCTGTGGCTCAAGTGGTAGAGTGCTAGCCTTGAGCTGAAGAGCTTAAGGACAGCACCCAGGCCCAGAGTTCAAACCCCATGACCAACAACAACAACAACAAAAAAATCATTTTAAACACAAGAAAGTGTGGTTTTCATTGTCATTGATAAGAGCTGCTTCAAGGAAAATTCCTCTCACTTGTACATAAGTCAAGCCTGGAGTAGCACCTTTCATCTTTGGGATCAGATGTGTGGGAACTGTAGTCATTGAATCACTAATGTCAGATGGAATGGTGAAGATGCTAAGATTGCTGCAGGTAACTGGGTTCAGCACTACCTTGCCAGCAGGAACCCGAGTTCAGATCACAGCTCTTTGGAAAAACAGATTTCTGTAACTGTGAACAATCAATTGTGATAAGTCAACTACTTTTGGACCAGCCCAGATTTCTATACTTAAAGATAAATCCTCCTTTCTGCTTTTGAGGATCTGTTATGATTCTTACATTTAATAATTGGTTTTCCTGTTTTATTGTTATGTGAGATTTCCTGTGTTTGTTACAATACTCATTCTTTCTGTTATTAGGCTAGTTAGGAAGTACCAGATCCTACTGTTAGTTAATAAAGTGTAACAAAACAGGTGGGAGCTCAAGTGGTAAAATATTGTTTAGCAAGATCAAATCCCTGAGTTCAAACCCCAGTACCACAAAATACATATATACATACATACATACATTCATACATACCAAAACTTTCATTACAATAAAGACACAAGAATGAATTTGTCTGTATTTGTCTAGGGTTCCTATGCTGACCTGCCCATCTTTGTTATGGCTCTTGTGAGGTTTTTTGTGGGTGGCTTCCGACCTACTGGTGGGAAGGGAAGGGCTCTATTCTTTCCTAGACTGTCTCTCAATCCCATCCCGTTCCCCCCACCCCTCTTTTTTTTGGTAATAGGGCTTGAATTCTGGGCCTGGGCCTGAGCACTGGCCCTGAAGGCGAGTGCTCTACCTCTTAAGCCACAGTGCCACTTCCATTTTGCTGGTGTATTGGAGATAAGAGTCTCATGGACTTTCCTGCCCAAGCTGGCTTTGAACCATGATCATGATCCTCAGATCTCAGTCTCCTGAGTTGCTAGCATTATAGGTGAGAGCCATTGGCGCCTGGTTCCCTCCCTTCTTTTTTATTTTTTTATTTTATTTATTTTTGTCCGTCATGGGGCTTGAACTCTGGGCCTGGGTGCTGTCCCTCAGCTCTTCAGCTCAAGGCTAGCACCCTACCACTTGAGCCACAGCACCACTTCTGACTTTTTTCTGCTTACATGGTGCTGAGAATCGAACCCAGAGCCTCATGCATGCAAGGCAAGTGCTCTACCACTGAGCCAACTTCCCAGCCTATCCCTTCTTTTCTTTTTTTTTTTTTTTTGGTCGGTCGTGGGGCTTGAACTCTGGGCTTGGGCGCTGTCCCTGCACTCTTCAGCTCAAGGCGAGCACTCTACCACTTGAGCCATAGCGCCACTTCCAGTTTTCTAGTGGTTTATTGAAGATAAGAGTCTCACAGACTTTCCTGCCCAGGCTGGCTTTGAACCATGATCCTCAGATCTCAGCCTCCTGAGTAGCTAGGATTACAGGCATGAGCCACTCGCGGCGCCTGGCTCTATTCCTTCTTTTTTATCAGACCATATTGTGGATTGTAAGAAAGCAGATTTGCTGAATTGTAGCCTAAAATCCTGGAGTTAAAACTGGCACAGTTTTTGCTTTTATTTATTTTTTTGGTGGTTCTGGGAGTTGAACTCAGGGCTTCATGCTTGCTAGGCATGTGCTCTCCTATTGGAGCCACACTGTTCTCCGGCCCCCCTCCCCCAAGTCCTCTTTTCACCTTCCATTTCATTCTGAGGTCAGTTACTTAGCTTTTACCCCAAATTCTAGGATCAGTTTTGTGTATATATTCCAAAAGTAGTTCTGTTGAAGTAGGGCTGTCTTAGCAAGTTCCAGATACTTTTCCCATTTGTCATCTTCTGTCTGTAACATTCCTGCTAAGTTCATTTTCTTCCTCTTGATTTACAAGCCCTGCTTCTTCCTAGATCTTGATTACTCTCTGTAATTGTTGTTTATATCAGATCAGTGGGTGCTATGTGTTCTGATAGTGGTGACTTTAACTGTGTTTAACTTCCTCAAAGCTAAGCCTAGTTATTTTGAGTAATGACAGTGTGTCATACTGCTCCCTGCTGATATTTTAGAAAGCACTTGCACATTTTCTCACTGAAGCCTCCCTGGAAATAAGATAGAGGTTCTGGGTTCAGGTAACATGTAAGTTTGGTTCTAGAACCTACGTCTGCCAACTTCTAGTGCAAGTGTTTGCTTTGTTTTTACTGTTCTGCTTTGCTTCATTCCCTGTAAGTTTCAGAAATGTAATAGTAAATGTGTTCCTATCTCCTCCTAATGGGGTGTTTTCCCCAGGGCCTAGACCTGTTGCCAAATGCTGTTCAACTTTTTTCAGATCTACACTAACAGTGATGAGGATGAATAATATTCTCTTTCTGAGTTTACTCCTAAAGCCTTGTTTATAGTTATAGCCCAGTCTAGCTTTGTGAGGAGAGGTCATCTATGGTGCTGGTTAGTAGCTCTCAAATGCTTAGCACTCACTGGCAGTAAGTGCTTCTGGATCATAAATTGCCATCCGCACAAAAATAAGCTTTCCTTTGCACATGCACAAAGTGCTTTCCAGAAACCAACTTTCAGAGGACTAGGAGAACACTGTCTTGGGCTGGGAGCAGTGGAAGCAAGCAGTGAACTCCCATATGTGCTGCATGGGGGTTTGTGCTTTGTGGATGCAGGGATCCTAACAGGCTTTCTGCTGCAGAAACTCAAACTCTAAAGAGAACTGAACTGATCAAGAAGAGGTAAACATCATCAGTGTTTTTGTCCTCTTCTCCAAAGTTTGGGAGCCTCTGGTGGAGCAAGTAATTGGGATTCCTACAGTGACCATTTCACCATTGAAACCTGCAAGGAGACAGATATGCTGAACTACCTCATCGAATGCTTTGACCGAGTTGGAATAGAAGAAAAAAAAGCACCAAAGGTACCATGAGACAGTTTTACTTAGAAAAGAAGAACTGGGGTGTCAGTGGCTCTTGCCTGTAATCTAGCTACTCAGGAACCTGAGATCTGAGGATCATTGTTTAAATTCATCCTGGGTAGGAAAGTCCACAAGGCTCTTTATCTTCAATTAATTACAGAGAAACCCAGAAGTGAAGCTGTGGCTCAAGTGGTGGAGTGCCAGTCATTTGGGATTTTTTTGTTTGTTTGTTTTGTTTTGTTTTTGTTTTTTTACTAGGACAAAATATCTGAGAATATCAACAAAGGAGAAAAGGTTTATTTTTGACTCAGAGTTGAAGAAGTTTAAGTCCCTGGTTGGTGGTTTTAATTCTGGGCTGTGACATCAAGGCAGAGGGTGTGTGTAGCAGAGCACAGTTGCTGGCCTCATAGCAACCAGGGAGCACACAGAGACAGAGAAAGGAAGGAGGGGATAGGATAGACCAGGGTACACCCTAATGATCTACTTCCTTCAGCCAGGACCTACCTCCTGTATCACCTATGAATTAATTCATCAATAAATTAACCCATTGATTTATTCAGAGCCCTCATGAGCTAGTTATCTCCCTAAAGCCCACTTCTCTAACACAGGAAGGCATTTTAGATTCAAACAGTAGCACTGCCAGTCTGTGGCAATTGTAATAACAGTAAGCAACACCATGAAGCACATGTAGATTAGATGACATTAACTCCACTTTAGCTTGAATTCTCTACAGGTGCTCAGAGTTACAAGTAGCCCTGTGCATGATATATCTTCTTTCCATGATAGGGATAAGCAAATGAATGACAAAGGTTAAGTTCATTATGGTAAAATTACTTAAATGATGACTTGCAGGGCTAGGTTTAAACTGAAGAAATACATATTTTGTACTGACTTGACTTCCTTACTTTTTCATTTTATTCTTAGTTTATTACCTAGTTCTAGTTTTGCATTAGAAAACTAATCTCGATGTCCACCTGTTTTGGCAGTACTCAAGTTTGAACTCAGGTTTACACTCATGCTAAGCAGGTACTCTGCCTCTTGAATCCCACCTGTAGTCCCACTTGTTAGTATTGTATTTGTAAAGGGCCTCTTTGAGGATTATTGTACTTGACCTGTGGGGGTGGGGGGAGAAGATCACATGTTTTTCTATTTACCCCTTCTCTGACTACATTTCACTTTTAGCACTTTGTTCATTATGAATAAAAGAATAAAATGCCATTTTCCAGCCATTACGTTCTTATGACATTTGTCAGTTTTCAACAGCATGATGTTAGTACTTTGCTTCTTGTCCTGACAACTACCTTCCTTTTCCAGATGTGCAGCCAGCCAGCAGTCAGCCAGCTCCTGAGCAACATCCGCTCACAATGCATATCGCACACCGCATTAGTACTCCAAGGTTCCCTAACACAGCCTAGGTATGTTATGAAAGATTGTTATGTGGCTGTGTGATAACACCTTGCACCTGGTTGGATCACTCCATTGTCTGAAAAGCGAAAATGTTTGACTTAGTAATCTGAGATTCCTTTTCTTCTCTAAAATGTTTTCTTACTCATCTTGTAAAATATGAGGTATAAAAGACATGAGTTAGACCTAAGGAGTGTTTTTTGAAATAGATCAGTATTGAATTATGTGGAGACCAGTAAAGAAAACTAGTAATTTAGTTTAAAACTACCTGAACTTGGTAGAGGCATCATATAAAGTGTATGTATCATTACTTCCCATGTAGTACATACCAGTTTATGTTACTTAGTAATTAAGAATAATGTGTAGAATAGATTCACACAGATACTACATTATATTTTATTTTATTACATGACGTTCCATAAAATACTTTGTATATTTCTTTTATGTAAAAATAATTCTAAATGAAAAGTGGCACAAAGTTAAATTTGTACATTCTTCTTGTTATATCCTGTACCATACCCACATGTTTTTTAAGCTTTTTTGTTTATCCTAGTCCTGGGGCTTGCGGGGTTTTTTTTGTTTTTTTGGTCAGTTCTGGGGCTTGAACCCAGGTCCTGAGCACTGCCCCTGAGCTTCTTTTGCTCAAGGCTAGCACTCTATCACTTGAGCCACAGCACCACTTCTAGCTTTTTCTCTTTATGTGATACTGAGGAATTGACCAGGCTTCATGCATGCTAGGCAAGCACTCTACCACTAAGCCACCTTCCCAGCCCGGTTCTTGAGTTTTTTAAGCTCAGTGCTAGCACTCTACCAGTTGAGACACAGCTTTACTTCCAGCTTTTTTGGGTAGTTAATTGGGGACAAGAGTCTCAGGGACTTTTCCTGCCCAGGCTGGCTTCAAACTGTAATCCTCAGATCTCAGCCTCCTGACTATCTCATATTATAGGTGTGAGCCCCTAGTGCCAACCTTAATGCTTCTTCTTTTTTTTTTTGCTAGTCCTGGGGCTTTTACTCAGGGTCTGGGCACTGTCCCTGAGTTCCTTTTTTTTTTTTTTTCTCAAGGCTAGCATTCTACCACTTGAGCCACAGTGCCACTTCCAGCTTTTTCTGTTGATGTGGTACTGAGGAATTGAATTGGGGCTTCACACAAACTAGGTAAGCACTCTACCTCTAAGCCACATCCCCAGGCCCTCATTTTTTTTTAAGCTCTTTGTTTTTTCCCCCAGCCCTTCATTTTTTTTTATTTATTTATTTATTTTATTTATTTATTTATTTTTGGGTCCAGTTGTGGGGCCTGAACTCTGGGCCTGGGCACTGTCCCTCAGCTCTTCAGCTCAAGGCTAGCGCTCTACCACTTGAGCCACAGTACCACTTCCATCTTTTTTCTTTTTGCGTATGTGGTGCTGAGGAATTGAACCCAGGACCTCATGCATGCAAGGCAAGCGCTCTACCACTGAGCCACCTTCCCAGCCCTATTTTTTATTTTTTCTCCAGAGCTAAGGACCAAACTCAGGACCTTGCACTTGCCAGGCAAGTGCTCTTCCAGTGAGCTAAATCCCCAACCCAATGCTACATTTTTAATGGACTGTGAAGGAAAATAAAAAATTTGAAATTTCTATAGCACTTCATTAAAAGACCAAAAAATGACTACAACTGGTTAGAAAGGTTTTCATTGTCTAAAACTTGTACAGAATATTTGGGAGATTTCAGATTTGGCTTCTGACTGGGCAGGTGGTACTGCCATGTGCTTGTATTTGTTCTGCATTGTGAGATCACTTCATTGTAGCCTTTGGCTTTTGTGGGTCCACAGATCCATGCAGCAGCCGTCCTTCCTTGTGCCCTACATGCTGTGCAGGAATCTCCCATACGGCTTCATTCAAGAACTGGTGAGGACCACTCATCAGGATGAAGAAGTGTTCAAGCAGGTATGGTCATGTGAGTTTTCTACTGCACTTTTAGCCTAGTACTTCTGTGCTGAAGCTGATACCTAAATATATTTGAAATTTCTCTTCCCACATTCCAGCATTCTTGTTATTTGCTCAAGGGTAGACCAACCAAGATTCTTTTTGAGAAAATTGGATTTAACAGCTGTAGTTTTCAAATCAGGTGCTCAATTCAGTTATTGAGTCTTTCAAACAAGGTCTATGTTAAGTGCTTTGGAATATAAAAGTCCTGGCTGGGAATGTGGCCTAGTGGTAGAGTGCTTGCTTAGCATGCATGAAGCCTTGGGTTTGATTCTTCAGCACCACATACACAGAAAAGGCTGGAAGTAACGCTGTGGCTCACGTGGTAGAGTGCTAACCTTGAGCAAATAAAGTTCAGGGCACATACACACACACCAAGAGTCACATCTCTAAGACAATGTGGGACAGCACCCAATCCAAGTTAAAGCTCCAGGACCAACAAACACACACATACCAAGAGCCACATCCCTAAGACAGTGTACATACACACACACCCCAAGAGCCACATCCCTAAGACAATGTACATTTTCCACATAGCAGTACTAAAAGTTGGTTGTCTGAGTATCTGAGATTAGTAATGCAATAACCATATTAGCTCACATAGATCCAAACTAGGAAGCAATGTGTTACATCTTACTGTTTGTGTTTTATTTGCTAATTATTTACATACTGTATTGATATCTCATTTTGTAAAGGCAAGTGAAGATGTTATCTCTTCACTGTTTACTGAGTTTCCTACAAGCTGAGACTCAGTTGTACTTTTCCCTTGCTTTTTCTTAAAATTTCTTACAGTTTACTTAGTCATCCCTTTTTTGTGTGGTTAGAGAAACAACAGTTGTAATCAGAAATACATGACACCATTGTAAACTAGTTTATACCTAGTATTATATCTGTTGGTTTTAAGACTAAATTCTCGGGGCTGGGAAGGTGGCTCAGTGGTAGAGTGCTTGCCTTGCATGCATGAGGCCCTGGGTTCAATTCCTCAGCACCCTGTAAGCAGAAAAAGCCAGAAGTGGCGCTGTGGCTCAAGTGGTAGAGCGCTCGCCTTGAGCTGAAGAGCTGAGGGACAGTGCCCAGGCACAGAGTTCAGGCCCCATGACTGGCAAATAAAAAAAAAAAAAGACTAAATTCTTAAGAATTGTGATTTTAACATTCTTTAAAGGGAATAAAAAGGCCTGCTAATGTTCTGTAATCTTTCTAGAACTCAGTCCCCGCACTTGTCTTTCATGATAGTCATGTTGACTTATAGGAGCATAAAGGCAACAGAGTGAACTCTTCTTTCAAAAGCTAAACCCTGAGTTCGATTCCTCAGCACCACATAAGCAAAAAGAAAAAAGCCAGAAGTGGTGCTGTGGCTCAAGTGGTAGAGCGCTAGCCTTGAGCCGAAGAGCTGAGGGGCAGAGTCCAGGCCCAGAGTTCAAGCCCCACGACTGGACCATCCCCCTCCCCCCCCCAAAAAAAAAAGCTAAGCCAAGGGGGCTGGGAAGGTGGCTCAGTGGTAGAGTGCTTGCCTTGCATGCATGAGGCCCTGGGTTCGATTCCTAAGCAGAAAAAGCCGGAAGTGGTGCTGAGGCTCAAGTGGTAGAGCATTCGCCTTGAGCTGAAGAGCTGAGAGACAGCGCCCAGGCCTAGAGTTCAGGCCCGATGACTGACCAAAAAAAAAAAGAAGAAAAAAAAATGCTAAGCCAAGTCTCATGAAAACAAGTGATGGTCTTGGAAAGTTTTAATGAAGTGCCCATAATTTAATGGTTGTAGTGGGCATTAATTAGAATACTTTATCAAAACAGGCACCCAGAGTAGTTTTTTACTGTGTACTATCAGCACAGTAAGTAGCTGAAAGGGCCATCCATATAATACCTATAGTATTCATGAACATATGTTGAGGTTATGAAATGACCTTTTTGGTCTTTATAATTGGGGTAAAATTAAGATAACTCAAATTGAAATTCATCCTCCCTCCTCCCCCACCCACACTGGGATTTGCACTCAGGGCCTCAATCTTGGTAAACAGGGTACTCTATGCTTGAACCACATCCCCTTCTGTGATTTCAACTCAGGGTGCTTTACCACTTAAACACTCATTGTCGTGGGGCTGTGGCTCAAGTGGTAGAGCGCTAGCCTTGAGCTGAAGAGCTGAGGGACAGTGTCCAGGCCCAGAGTTCAGGCCCCACGACCAGACCAAAAAAAAAAAAACCACAAAAAAAACTAAACACTCTGTCTTTTCTTATGTTATCATGAGGTGGTTTCTGTTTGTTTGTACGTAGATGTGCCAATACTGGCACTAAAACTTAATGCTTCACACTTTCACTTAGCTTCTTCACTCACAGTGTGGCTCTCTACCCTCTGAGCCAGCTATATTTCTATTTTGAGCATTTTGCTGGTTAATTGGAGACAGTCTCACTGACTTGTCTGCCCAGACGATTTCAAATAATGACCCTTGGATCTCTGTCTCTTGAGTAGCTAGGATTATAGGCAGGCATCATTGATACACAGAAGTGCATTTATGATGAATTTTTGTCAAGTGTGAAATAGAGCTCCTGAAGAGAAAAAACACTATTTTACCTTTTTTATTGCACAATGCAGAAATCATGAATTATTCAGTGTTACAGTAAAAACTTTCACCTCCTTTAAATGATTGAGAGCTGTACACATGTAAACAGAAATAAAGAACAGCCATAATTTAGTATGAATAGAGCATGAATAGATATAGCATGTTTTCTCTAGTGCTAGTAGGTTTTGGTCTGAAAATAAAGCATTATTTATGATAAGGAGAGCATAGCCGGGCACTAGTGGCTTACGCCTGTAATCCTAGCCACAGGAGTTCAAGCCACAGGACAGGCACAGAGACAAATGGAGATCATAGAAATATTAGTCAATGTTTTATTATTTAAAAGTACTTTGTATAGTTATATTTTGTTCATTAACAATTAAATCTTGCCTAAGAAAGATACTGCCAATAGAAAGTGTAAAGGTACTTATAGCATTCCTCAAAAAAAAAACAAAAACAAAACCATACTTAGAGGTTTTTCTGGATGACCAGTTGTGAAATTTACTCTTGGGATTCCGGTCTGTCTGCCTCTTCTTGATTGCAGTTTGGCATTCCTCACACTCACACTGAGTGTTAGGGCTCCATTTCTCACTAGCTTTTGAAAGCACATTACTTCTACCCTGATTGTTTGAGTGGTGAAGACTAGCTTGATCTCTTCCAGTGCTATGTTTATATCTCAAGACATTCCACAGATACTTGTAATCTACGGCACCTTTTTTGGTGCTGTGTTCTTGTGATGAAAGTTTTAAGTAGGATGGGATGAAATTAGTAGGAAAAGGAAATTGTCAGGGTTTCTAATAGTTTTCTAATATACCCCTTTTAAAACTTATTGTAATTCACTTTGTCCGCTGCTGTTTACACTTTCTGCTTGATGCTGTTAGCCTTGACTCTCAGCCAGCTCCTTGAAAAAGCAGTTCAGTGAGTGGATTGTGAAGTTTGGCGATGCATTGTGCTAAGAAAATCTTGAAGTGTTACCCAGTGTTAGTGATAAATATGGAAAAGTAAATTTGAGGCCCTTAAGCTTTCATATCAGATGATTATATAAATTTTGCTCCTTATTAAATTGAACATTTATCAGGTATATCTGCTCTCAAGTGTAAGTAGTAAACAGAGAAAGACTTTTTAAATATTTTACAGATCATAGATGCTTGGTAATTAAGAACGTAGTTGCTGAGATGTGCAGAATTGAGTTGTAAGAGCAAAGACCCCTGCAAGGCTTAATGTCCATATTGGTGGTTTTCTGCTGTATTACTGAAAGTCCTGCCAGGATACTAGTGTTCATCAAAATCCTCTTCTGGGAACCGTAGCTGTATTTCTCTGTGGTTAGCCTCTTTGCTGGACAGGTCAGCACACTGTCTGAATTACAGACCACTGCAGACTGTGCAGAAAAGCTTTTTTCTCAAAGAGGAATGAAAAGGCCTGCATATTTAGATACAGAACCTTATTTAACAGGATTCCTATTTGTGTGTGTGTGGGCGCATGCACATTATGTGCATATTTTGACTTCTGTTCGTAATTTGGGTTCTTTTCTTACAGATCTTTATTCCCATTTTACAAGGCCTGGCTCTTGCTGCCAAAGAGTGCTCACTTGATAGTGACTACTTTAAATACCCCCTTATGGTAAGTCTTTAAAAAAAAAAAATGCTAGTACACTGAATAAATGTTTTTCTTTCTGACTACTTTAACTGAGTTTTTCTTTCAGGTCTCTGAATAATGTTGTTTTCCATTGCACACATGAAATGGTTATGTTGGCCATGCAGTGCCTGGTGTGCAGCTGAGTTAAAACAACAGCTGGGACACAATCTGCCTCTCCCAGCCCTAGGCAGCCGTCAGCTGACTGGGCTCTATTTCACCATACTATACTCCTAACTCGGCCTCCTGAGTGCTGGGATTGCAGGCATGTACTACTATACCTGGCGTGTGATAAAATTTTGCTTTTCAAAAAAGTAATGTAGCCAGGCATTGGTGGCGCATGCCTAAAAATCAGGAAGCTGAAATTTTGAGGAAGGTGGTTCAAAGCCAGACCAGGCAAACAAAGCCGGGAGACTCTTTCTCCATTTAACCACTAAAAAAGCCAGAAGTGAAGTTGTGGCACAAGTATTTCCATGTCAGCCTTGATTGAAAGAGCTTAGGGGCAACCCCTTGGCCTTGAGCTCAAGCCCTACTACCAGCACAAGAAAAATATTTTTTAAAGTAATGCAGTTGCTTTTCTTAAACTAAGAGAAGCAATAAACAGAGCTTATTTTTTTCAAGTTCTAGAAATAAGGACAAAATGTCAGAACATGAAATTAGTTTACTGTATGTATATATGCAACCTTGTGTAAATTGAGGCCTTGATAACATATATATGTTATATATTATATATAATAATATATTATATATAATATTATATTATATGTTACATATATATTATATATAATATATAACATATATATATTACTGTGTTTCGTTACTGATTTGAGTCTGTTTACTTCCTGAGCATGTTCTGTATTAGTGCTGGATCACAGTTGCTTATGAGACAACACCTTCCATTAAGGTGCTCACAGTGCACCCCAGAATTCACACCAGATCAAAAAAGTTAGGAATTGTCCTGTGATGATGGTACAACCAAGGTGTGTACAAAAGGTGCATTTTTTTTTTTCGAAAGCAAGTCCATCATCATATCACTTAAACATGGGGAAATGAGAAAGTGACAAGGAATTCTTTTAAACAAATAATTTTGAATGGATTCATGCTACAGAGCTCTTCCCATTGCACTTGTGGCAGACAGAACAGGAAGTGAACTAATCCGATTTAGTTCAGTTGTGAGATATTTGGTCTATATTGATGATCACTGTATTATGTAAATATTCCTTCTGAAATTGTTGACTTTTTGGTAGAATTAGCTTAGTGTTTCAGTGAGGAACTGTTAGTGTCAGATACCAACAAAATGTCCTTCTCAGTCAAAAGATAAAAGCTTCCATTGTTGTAGATAGTAATTTTATTTTGGGCCATACTGATGTTTGTACAATAGGGAGAGTTCAGTGAGAGAGAACAATAGTGAGAGGCATGAAGAGAAGACATCTGGAACCAAATCAGAAATAATTGAGGCTGGGTACTGGTGTCTCACACCTGTAACCCTAGGTACTCAGGAGGCTGAGATCTTAGGATTGTGGTTCAAAGCCAGCCTAGGCAGGAGAGTCTGAGACTCTTATCACCAATAAACTACTCAGAAAAAGCTAGAACTGTCACTCTGTCTCAAGTGATAGCATGCTAACCTTGAGCACAAAGAGGCCCTGGGACAGTGCCCAGGCCAGAGTTCAAGCCCCAGGACTGAAGATAAAGAAAGAAAGAATTGGGATTTTTCTCCAGCTCAGTGAACCCTACTGTGTCATACTTGGAGTCACTTAGGGTTCTTTAAAAAATATTGTTGCCATTGTGTAAGGTAGCACATGACAATCACCCAAGCACTCAGGAGGCTAAAGTAGGAGGGTCCCTAGAAACTCAAAAAAGCCAACAACAATTAGGGTAAAAGTTAAAATGTTAAAAGTTAAAATGCTATCCCAGCCCCACGCACTGTGATTTAAATCATAGGGGGCACAGCATGGCAGCAGGATTTTCTAGGCTTCCCCTATGATCCTGATGTGCAACGAAGTCTGTGATGCTCTGCCCTGGACAGTAAGCACTTGAACTTCTGTCTAGCTCCCTAAGCCTCACAGAGGCTGGACTTGCAGGTGTGCACCATCACAAACAATAGTTTAAAATATATTAGTTACTAAGTTTCATCAGTGCTGAACATCCACCCAAAGCTTCCTTAGCTATTTAGCAACTTAGTTGTGGCTAAACCAGACAAAAAGTAGAGTCCATACTCAGTATTGTTTGGTTTGTTTTCTTTTTTTCTTTTTCTTTTTTTTTTTTTTGTCAGCTGTAGAGCTTCGACCCAGGGTCTCGGTACTGTCCCTGAGCCTCTTTTTGTTTAGGGGTAATGCTTTACCACTTGAGCCATAGCACCATTTCCTCAGTATTGTTTGATTGAATTTCAGGAAACTGCCTACCTCTAAAACAAGTGCTCATCATAATTCTCTAAGAAGAGAATGATTGGAACACTGAAGAACACTTGGAATTTTTACAAATACCACATAGCTTGAAACCGTCATGCTTTTAAAAAAAGATTCTGAGTTGATAGCTTGCTTTTTTTTTTGGTACAAAGAAGTTAGAATTACATGTTATGAATTCAGTGCTTCTTGTCAATGTTACACTTCTATCATTCTCCTTTTCCCCCCTCCCATCCCTATACACAAGTTAATTATTACATAATCATTATATAATATACAATGAATATAATGATATTTGCTCATGCCCTTCTTTTGTGTGCCCAGCCTATTACCCTTTCCCTCCAAACGTGTTGCTGCTTCCTGTTTTATTCTAGTTGTTTTTGTCTTTTTGCTTTTTTTTAAAAAAAATTATTATTTTTGGGGGGGGTCCAGTCGTGGGGCCTGAACTCTGGGCCTGGGCGCTGTCCCTCAGCTCTTCAGCTCAAGGCTAACGCTCTACCACTTGAGCCACAGCGCCACTTCTGGCTTTTTTCTTTTTGCTTATGTGGTTCTGAGGAATCGAACCTAGGGCCTCATGCATGCAAGGCAAGTGCTCTACCACTAAGCCACCGTCCCAGCCCTTTTTTTTTTTTTTTTAATAAAAATAAAGTCAGCCCAGGCTGGCCTTGAATTCAAATACTTCTTTTTTGGCCTTCTAAATGCTAGAGTTTAAGGCATGTCCACCCTTGCCCAGCTTGATCACTATTTAAATCCTAAGTGCATTTATTTCTTCAAATCTATTTATAGAATATGTTTAGAAAGTTAACAAAAATATCAGCAGAAGTTATGTCTGAGAATAAAGTGTGTAGTTTGTAGTTTGGGTTATATTTTTGCTTTATTGGGTGTTGTTTTTGCTGTTGTTTGTTTGTTTGTTGAGATAGAGACTAACTGTAGCTCAGGCTGGCCAATGCTGGGAATGCCATGCATATAAAATGCTTATGAAGTCAAAAAGTTCTAAGTCTGATAGCATCATAGAGTAAATGTATATGTTTGAGAGTAGCAGTTAAAGTTGTCCTTTGCTGCTACACAGGATAACAGGATAGCACTTTGAGAAGCAATACATTGATCTAATTCTTTCTTATATTATTTTTAGGCATTAGGTGAACTCTGTGAAACTAAGTTTGGAAAGACACACCCTGTGTGTAATTTGGTAAGTTTCTACTTGATATGTTCACACATTGCCACTGAACCTGTAAAAATACAGAATAATAGCAACTAAAACCTCTCTTAAGGGGTGGGAAGGTGGCTCAGTGGTAGAGCGCTTGCCTTGCATGCATGAGGTCCTGGGTTCAATTCCTCAGCTCCACATAAGCAAAAAGAAAAAAGCCAGAAGTGGTGCTGTGGCTCAAGTGGTAGAGCGCTAGCCTTGAGCTGAAGAGCTGAGGGACAGCGCCCAGGCCCAGAGTTCAGGCCCCACGACCAAAGCCCCCCCCAAAAAAAAAAACCTCTCTTAAAGGCATTTGGGTGTAAGTAGAGGTAAATACATCAGAGGCTCTCACCAACTGCTATTATATATGACATTTCTTGGAATGAAGTATTTTACTACTATTATTTTAGGGAGAATAAGTATTTTCTAGAGCATAACAGGTACTATGGGGAGATTTATTTGAATCCTTTGGTAATATCAGATTTTTTTTTTGAATACTGTCTAAGTCTATCTTGAAACATAAATGTGAAAATGTAGAGTTGGAGGATTTCCCTCCATTGAGGTGGGTAACTTCCACCAGGGCTCCTGACACCTTTGTGCCTTGTGTTCGAGATGTTCAGGATCAACCGTTGTGCTGGTGATCAGAACCAGATGTGGAGAACATCACCCACTGCCTCTTCCCTGCTTCCTGCTCAGCAGCGTGACCAGTCTTTTCCTTGTGTCTAGGTTGCCTCTTTGCCCTTGTGGTTGCCGAAGTCCTTAAGCCCTGGCTCCGGGAGGGAGCTGCAGAGACTGTCTTACCTGGGGGCCTTCTTTAGCTTCTCAGTCTTTGCAGAAGATGATGTAAGTCCAGTGGCTACTCAGATTTGCCGCCTTTGTTCAGTCTCCTTCTCACCCTGGGCTCATTCAGTGTTTTCTTTCTCTTTCCAGGCTAAAGTGGTGGAAAAATATTTCTCAGGTCCTGCCATTACCCTGGAAAACACCCGTGTGGTCAGCCAATCACTACAGCATTACTTGGAGTTGGGAAGGGTAGGTGTTTGGAAGAAGAATGAATGGATGAAAGATGAGTTGTTAGTACAGAACTTCCTACTTATTTTGTAGACAGGTTGCTGTCAATGCCCAAATGCTAATAAAAAGCCCCTAGAGCCAGGCACTGGTGGCTCACATCTATAATCCTAACTACTCAAGAGGCTAGCTACTCATGGTTCAAAGCCAGCCCAGCCAGGAAAGTCCATGAGAGTCTTTATCTCTAATTAACCTCCAGAAAACAGAAAGTAGAGCTGTGGCTCAAAGTGGTAGAGCACTAGCATTGAGCAGAAAATCTCAGGGACAGCACCCAAGTCCTATGACCAACAACAACAAAAGTCCCTTAGATATTTTTGAAGAAGATATGCACTAGCTAAGTTAGCAGCCCTCACAAGTGTAAGGCCTTGAGTTCAAGTACTGGCAAAAGACAAAAACAAAAAAACCATAAGCTATGTATAAATGATTTGTGTCTTTTTCTGATTTGCTTGTGTTGGGAATTAACCACAGGACCCTGTGCATGTTAGTCAAAGGAGCTCCATCCCCAGCTGTCCATGTCTTGGGTAATAGCTACACCCATGCTGTGATTCCTCTGTTAGCAGTGGCTACATTACCTCTGTAGCCTGCCCTTAGTCATTAAGTTTCTAGGTTGAGTGAGAGGTATTAGTTTGTACAAATCCCTTGCTCACCTACTTACCCATGTAGACTAATCTAACTTGTCTCCAATTCCGAAACATAAAAGTAAAGACTTACAGTTTGGGGTAACCAAATTCATTTTACTTTGCCCAAGGCAGAGTTTTGAGAAGTTTCATTAAAACCATAACTACTCACCTCCATGCCACACACTGCCTTTCTGCTATTGTCTCATCTTGGGTGCATTCATATGTGTCTTCATGTGTACACTTCATGTGGTTAAACTGTCCTGAAGTGAGTAGAAGTGGGAGAAGAGAGAATGTAGGAACTGGGCCACGGTCTTACTGAGTTTAATTTGTTTGTCTTCTTTTAAAAAATAATCTAGCAAGAGCTTTTCAAGATTCTGCATAGCGTTCTGTTGAATGGTGAAACCCGTGAAGCCGCCCTGGGTTACATGGCAGCTGTCGTCAATGCCAATATAAAGAAAGCACAGATGCAGGTAAGGTTTCTGAGACACTTTTGCTTTCACTTGCTCCCTAAATCCCTTCTACCATGACTTGCTCATGGTGGAATACCAGATAGGAGGTACAGTTGTGATTTTTGATCAGGTACTGGGGAAGGCTTTTCTGAAGTGGTGACATCTGAATTGAGCCCTGACTGATGGGAAAGAGCCAGCCATTGTAAAGTTAGGGGGGAAAAAAGCCTTCTAGATGACTATAAGGCACCAAGGTGGAAATGAGCTGCTTTGGTGCAACCCCCGTACACAATGGGCTTTTTGTGGCTGGGAAAGTGCAGTCACGGAGTTGGGATTGGGCTCATATATTAGGACTGTAAGGAGAATCTGTGAGTGCAAAATGAAGTCTGGAGCAGACTCAAGGAGGCCAGTTACTAGGTCATAAGTACAGTAGTTTTGGTAATAAAGGCTGAGAATGGGGCTATGTGGTCTGAGTGGACAGGTCAAAAGGAGGGGCACCCTTCTTACATTTTCGTGGAGCCTGAACTCGGCCTGGATGCTATCCTTCAGCTCTTCAACTCAAGGCTAGCGCTCTACCACTTGAGCCATAGCACCACTTCCGGCTTTTTCTGCTTATATGGTGCTGAGGAATCGAACCCAGGGCTTCATGCAAGCACTACCACTGAGCCACCTTCCCAGCCCCCTTTCCTACATTATTAATAAACTAATATATGCTCTGTACATCACCTTTATAATAACAATTTAAAAGTAAAAATTGAAAATATTGAACAGGGCTGGGAAGGTGGCTCAGTGGTAGAGCGCTTGCCTTGCATACCTGAGGCCTTGGGTTCGATTCCTCAGCACCACATAAGCAAAAAGAAAAAAGCCGGAAGTGGCGCTGTGGCTCAAATGGTAGAGTGCTAGCCTTGAGCTGAAGAGCTGAGGGACAGCGCCCAGGCCCAGAGTTCAGGCCCCACGACCAGACCCCCCCCCCCAAAAAAAAGAAAAATATTGAACAATAAATGATGTGACTCAGAAGCAGAAAAAAAATGGTAGTCTTATCATTTCTAAAACTGAGACCTGGGTTCTGTGCCTTGGTTTTCCCATCTACTTACTGAGTGGAGATGATAGTGATACCTGCCCTGTAGGTGAAGCACCTGTAAAGCTGTTAGACCAGCAATCACTTAGGTGGTGTTAGTCATCTTATAATTGTTCTGTTATTAATGCTACCAGCTAGAGAAATTAATTGGATTACTTGGTAACAAGTAGAATTATTTGTTCTGGTGGTTTTCATGGGAAATAAAAAGGACAACATTTAGTGTGCTTCTACGTACTAATCTTGAGGCTTTGAGGTTAATTGCTTACATCCTCTGACATTTGTTTCCTCCCCTGTAAAGTATGATGTAGCATTTGACCATTGGGGTCATCGTGAAGCATGGGTCATGTTCCTCAATTGACAGTGACCACATGTGCTCTTATTGGCTTTAGAGGATACTGTGGTGTTTGTTCCAAAATTTGTGTTCAGATTGGTATTTCAAGTAACTTTTTTTTCATACTTCACAGACAGATGATAGATTGGTATCTACAGATGGATTTATGCTCAATTTCCTTTGGGTACTACAGCAGCTAAGTACAAAAATCAAGTTAGAAACAGTTGATCCCACATATATATTCCACCCAAGATGTCGGATTACACTTCCTAATGATGAGACGCGAGTGAATGCAACAATGGAGGATGTGAACGACTGGCTGAGTGAACTTTGTGAGTAGCATGTTCATTGCTGGGTCATGAGCTCTACCAGCCTTTTACCTGGATGCATTTGTGACATAAGTTCACACTAAACACTTATGTAAGCTGGATGCAGGTGCTCACACCTGTAATCCTAGCTACTCAGGAGGCTGAGATCTGAGGGTTGCGTTTCAAAACTAGCCCAGGCAAAGAAAGTCCATGAGACTCCTTATCTCCAATTAACCACCAGAAAACCAGAAGTGGCATTGTGGCTCCAAGTGGTAGAACCCCACTAGCCTTGAACTGAAGAGCTCAGGGACAGCACCTAGGCCCAGAGTTGAAGACCCACAACCAACTAACTAACTAAATAAATACTTATACAGTGAAAAAGTCCTTACTTTTTTAGGCCAAAACAGATACATAGAACATGTGAATGGGAATGTATTATTTTGAGTTATAAAAAAAAATTTAAATGATAGCAACTGTGTTATTACATAGATTGATTTTAGAATTATCTGCTGGGTGCTAGTGGCTCATGTCTGTAATCCTAACTGCTTAGAAGATTAGTCCTAGAGGATCAAGCTTTGAAGCCAGTCCAGATAGAAGAGTTCTTGAGACAGTATTTCTAATGAACTGGCAAAATAATGGACTGGAGATGTGACTGAAGTGGTAGAGCACTATAGCAAGAAAGCTGAGCAAGAGCATGAGATCCTGACCTCAAGCCCCAGCACTGGCAACAAGAAAAAAAAAATCTCATTAGATACTTCATGATGAATGAATATGTTTGTAAAATATGAGTGTTTTGAAGGTATGATAATATTAATCTTCTCTATTGGTAACATAGCATATATTGTTTAATAATAGATATCAAAATCCACTCTACTACTTGACACAGCACCACTTCTGGCTTTTTCTGTTTATGTGGTACTGAGGAATAGAACCCAGGGCTTCATGCATGCTAGACAAGCACTGTATCACTAAGCCATATTCTCAGCCCATACACATGCTATTTTTAATGGAGAAAAATTAGAAACTACAAACATGCAGGGGAATGTATTAATGTAACCTAGTTCTACTTTGAGATTTTTTTTTGCGGGGGGGCGGGGGGAAGTCCGGTCATGGGGCCTGAATTCTGGGCCACTGTCCCTGAGCTCTTCAGCTCAAGGCTAGCACTCTGCCACTTGAGCCACAGCACCACTTCCGGCTTTTTTCTTTGTGCTTATGAGGTGCTGAGGAATCGAACCCAGGGCCTCATGCATGCAAGGCAAGCATTCTACCACTGAGCTACTTTCCCAGCCCCTACTTTGAGATTTATGTACTTAAATGCTAGTGTATTTGAGATATTTTTATACTGAAAATTGAGAATGATTTTATAAAGTACACCAGAAAATGTACCATAAAAGTCTGTTAGTAGAAATCTATATAAACATTTAAATAGAATACCTGCTAATTGATGAAAATATGCTTAAACTTTTGGAAAATTCAAGAGTAATTTTCTAAACTAAATATTTGCATTGTTTTATACTTAGAATAGATTTGACTGGGGCTGGGAAGGTGGCTCAGTGGTAGAGCGCTTGCCTTGCATGCCTGAGGCCCTGGGTTTGATTCCTCAGCACCACATAAACAAAAAGAAAAAAGCCGGAAGTGGCGCTGTGGCTCAAGTGGTAGAGCGTTAGCCTTGAGCTGAAGAGCAGAGGGACAGCGCCCAGGCCCAGAGTTCAGGCCCCACAACCGGACCAAAAAAAAAAAGAATAGATTTGACTTAGGGAATCTTGTTATTTTTCCTAGATGGAGACCAGCCTCCATTTTCTGAGCCAAAATTCCCCACAGAATGCTTCTTTCTCACCCTACATGCTCACCACCTCTCTATTCTGCCCAGTTGTCGTCGCTACATCCGCAGACTCCGCGCCATCCGGGAGCTGAATAGGTAGGTGCCTTGTTGCCATGTCCTGGCATTGCCTACTTCTGCTTCTTCTAAGGGAGCAGTGCCATTGTGTGCAGAGGATTTGAATGTGGGGCTTATATGTTACAGTGGATTATCTGCCTCCTCTGCCATGTCTGTATTCCTAAGTGTCCTCAAGTCTTCGCTGGTTAAAGTGATTCAAACCTTGATTCCTGGGAGTTCTGGATCCTAGGTGAGACTGTTCCAACTTCCCATGTCCTTCCACTAGACATGGCTTTCACATGAGCCATTTCCGAGATTCTCCAGGTTTCTAGACTTCCCCCTACCCACTTAGACTTGAAAACAGTAACCTTGTTTTCTCACGTAATCACAACAGTTCATTCCTTCCAGCATGTATTTCCCCTTTTGGTCTGTTTGCTGTGGCAAGAGGAGTCCAAATGGCCATATAGCAGCCTCTGTTCTTATGCTTTAGCACTACTGTTCTATACCAATCCAAGTATTTCTTTCCGAATACCAGCATTATGGGAATTATGGGAATATAGAAGAAACCCTTTTTTTTAAATAGGGTTTTTGAATAGAATTTCAAAGAATAATTGAAGCCACTGCTACTTTTTAGATTAGTTTTGTCTGTGAGAGGAACATTTCACATCTGTACATGTTTAACCTTATACCTACCCACCTAAAAAGTACTTATCCTAGCATTTACTTCATAGATTCTTTAAGATTCTTCTACACATAATCATGTAAATGGTGGCAGTACTTTGCTTTATGATTTAGTACACTGACTATGTTTTTTTAAATAAAATATACATTAGATCCTCTTTGTTCTTAGGAAATAAGTTTCAAGACCCTCAGTGGATACATTAAACCCTGGACACTGTCAACCTTTATATGTATTATGTGTTTTCTTAGAAATATATTTCTAAAGCCAGTGCTGGTGGCTCATACCTGTAATCCTAGCTACCCAAGAAGCTGAGATCTGAGGATCACAATTGAAAGCCAGACTAGGCAAGAAAGTCCCTGAGATTCTATCTTCAGTTAACCACCTCAAAACCTTAAGTAGAGTTGTGGCTCAAAGTAGTAGAATGCTAACCTTGAGCAGAAGAGCTCAGGGACAGCACCCAGGCCCAGACTTCAAGCCCCACAGCCAACAACAACAACAAAATATGACCCGTCTGTCTGTCTTTCTATATTTGTCTTACTTTGAGTTTTATTGTGCTGTACTAACTGAGCATGGCTGAATACATGGAAAATGGAGCACTGAATAATGGGGGAATGACCTGTAACCTTCTTGAGATTTGTCATATCCAGTTTACAGGGGAGGGAAACCTTTTCAGATCAAAGGAATTCGTATCTACTCAGGACAATAGATCTTTTTTCCCCCTTTATTCTCTTAGTGTTGCTGAATTGTATCAGCTGGTTTTCTGATATTAATCTAATTTTTCATTGCTGGAATAAAGTGAATTTTCATAGTATGTTTGTATCTCATTGGATATTTGGTTTGCTAATAGTTTCGGGATTTTTTATTCTGCTCAAAAGAAAGATTGACTTAAAAATTTCACTTCTTGTTTGGTGCTTCTCAGATTTTCCTATCAGGGTTCTGCCCACCTTGTAAAATGAACAGGGAATATTCACATTTCTAATGTATACTATAAGAGGTTTTGTATATGAATTATGTTACTGCTTCCTTAAATGTAACAATTTTGCAATGAAGCTGTCCGGTCTTAACAGTTTACAATGTGGAAATTTTAATCATAGATTAAGTGCTAGGTCATCATTTCAATTTTTATACCAGTTTTTCCATATGTGGGGTTTCCAAACACTGTTACAAAGTCATTTCTTTTTTTTTTTTTTTTGGTCCGGTCGTGGGGCCTGAATTCTGGGCCTGAGCACTGTCCCCCAGCCCTTTAGCTCAAGGCTAACACTCTACCACTTGAGCCACAGCGCCACTTCCAGCTTTTTTTTTTTTTTTTTTTTTTTTTTTTTTTTGCTTATGTGGTGCTGAGGAATTGAACCTAGGGCCTCATGCATGCAAGGCAAGTGCTCTACCACTGAGCCACCTTCCTAGCCCCAAAGTCATTTCTGGTGTTCTTTTTATCTTTTCACTGTCTGTAGGGTCTGTGTGTGTGTTTTGTGCTGGTACTGGGGCATGAACTTCAAGCCTGTCTAGCCTCTCCCTCACTAGGTTTTTCTGCTCTAGGTTGGTGCTCTACCTCTTGAACCACACCTATAGTTTTACCTTTTGCTTATTGGAGATAAACATCTCATGGGTTTGTGTGGATTGGCTTCAAACCTGCCTGTTTGTAGGGTCTTAAATATTTACTGCTGCCTTGGTTTAATTATCTTTTTTTGTTAGTGCTTTTATTTTTTCTTGAGATGCATGCTTCTATTTTTTTCCACCTTGCTTGCATTTAAGACTCTTTTCCTGTGAGCCTAGTTTTGACTACATTCTACATTTTTAGTATGACAGGACTTATTTAGCTCAAAATATTTCACAATTTTTATTTTTTACTTGGCCATTGTTTAAATTGCAGGTTCTTCATGGTTGGCCATCATTTGTTATTGATTTCTAACTAAGTTCTCTTGAGGTCTGAGTTACTAAATCTTTAGAAATTTATTGAGAGCCGGGCGCTGGTGGCTCACGCCTGTAATCCTAGCTACTCAGGAGGCTGAGATCTGAGGATCGCGGTTCAAAGCCAGCCTGGGCAGGAGAGACCCTGAGACTCCTATCTCTAATAAACCACCAGAAAATCGGAAGTGGCACTGTAGCTCAAGTGGTAGAGTGCTAGCCTTGAGCTGGAGAGCTGAGGGACAGCGCCCAGGCCCAGAGTTCAAGCCCCATGACTGGAAAAAAAAAAAAAAGAAATTTATTGAGAAATGCTTTAGAGCCTAAAGACACTCCAAAACAATGCTTTCTTGTTGGCATATATCGTTCAGGCCAAGTGTATTGATCTTTTAACTTTATCTTACCCCTGCTAATGTCATTAGATTTTTTTTTTCCCAATCCTGGTGCTTGAACTCAAGGCCTGAGCACTCACTATCCCTGAGCTTCTTTTGTTTAAGGCTAGCACTCTATCACTTGAACCACAGTGTCACTTCTGGCTTTTTTTGGTGTATGTGGTACTGAGGAATTGAACCCAGGGCTTCATGAAGCTTGCTAGGCAAGCACTCTACCACTAAGCCACCTTCCCAGCCCTTTCATTAGATTTTAAGAAAGGCTTGTGCAGCTTTCAGACTCTGATTTCAGGTTTATCTGTTTTTCCATCTCAGCAAGGCCATCTTGACACCACACCAGTCCCACTGACTCTGGTGGGCCCATTTCAATGGTAGCAGATGTTACTTAGTAGCAGCACTCTTGTGATCTTCTGAGATATTGATGTGCCTCTCACCGGTGTATTTGTCAGTGCTGTGATAAAAGTGTCATAGGACACAGTTGGGTGTATTGTGTTAGGAGGAAGATTTCTGAGCAAGTCATATATGGTAAATGTACATTAATATTCCAATTCTCTCCTCTGATTAGAGGAATACCTGGTACCTCAGCATGATTTACACTAGGTTACTGCAGGAAAGTCCATGAGACTCTTATCTCCAATAAACCACTAGAAAATGGGAAGTGGCGCTGTGGCTCAAGCAGTAGAGCACTCGCCTTGAGCTGAAGAGTGCAGGGACAGCGCCCAAGCCCAGAGTTCAAGCCCTGAGACGGACAATAAAATAAAATAAATTATTTTTTAAAAAAAAGAATCTTGAGATGGGGAGATGATCCTGGATGATCTAGGCAGGCCCCATGGTATATCACAAGGTCTTTGTAAGGAGGCGGGAAGGTCAGAGGAAAGGGATGTGATGATGGAAGCAGAAGAGAAATTATTGTGGCTTGGGGGGTCACAACTGCTAAGCAATGCGGTTGATCTTGGAGGCTGGTATGGGAAAGGGAATGTGTTCTTCCCTACAGTCTCCAGAAGTATCAGCATCTGCTGACTCATTTTAGACTTCTTGCCACCAGTAATTGTGGTGCTTCTTGTGCTAATTTGTTATTAAAACAACACTGGAAAACTAATAAAACTTATTAGCAGATTTTGCCATAATTTTGAGAATTGATTTTGTAATTTCTCCTTGGCTCAGGTCTTGATCTGACTCTAGTTGTGGTTTGGAGGCAGTGGAAGGTGATGGGGGCAGTCCTCTTAGGGAGTTGTGGTGGGAACTTCCTCTGCCAGCAAGAAAGGTTCAGAAGATTTAGTGATTTCGGAACAAGGAGTTACCACATTATGCCATGCTCTTCCATTTGCACTCCTGAGATTCTATCCTTTGCCCTGATTTTCAGGTAGGAGGTCTAGGAAGGGTATGAATTTAGTCTGTGTTGTACTTTGGTAAGCTATAAAAACAGACTGGGCTTCTTAGAAACTTCCTGGTTCTGTGACTTTTTCTTGAGGTGAGAATTAGCCTCAAACCCATCATTTTCTTTTTGTTCGTTCTCCAGCATAAATTAAAAGTAGCCACTCTATACCAAGTGCTGGTGGCTGGTGTCTGTAATCCTAGCTACTCTGGAAGCTGAGATCTGAGGTTAAAGGTTTGAAGCCAGCCAGGACAGAAAAGTTCATCAGACTTACCTCCAATTAATCACAAAAAAAACTGTGAGCTACTTCTTGGCCACAAACAAAAGTAGCCACTCCATCTCAGAACCTTGGGCTACCAGTGTTCATTCTCAAATAATAATTAGATCTTTATCATTTTTAGGTAGCCTTGTTAAAAACTGACCCCAGAATACCATTCTACTTGAGATCCTCCTTAGCAAGCTCACATGGTGTCAGTGGTTATGTGTATCATTGTGTGTATTTCTGTGCCCACCGCCATAGGGACTTCAAAAAGCACACATACAGTTCTAGAGTCAAAAGTCCTAAAATTCAGTTTAGGCTACCCTGTGGAGAGAGTGGTTCCTGCCTCGCCCAGTTTTCAGAAGCCTCCTACTTTACTTTTTCCTTTCCTTTTCGCCAGTCCTGGGGCTTGAACTAAGGGCCTGGACACTGTCCCAGAGCCTCTTTGTGCTCAAGGCTAAAGCTCCACCACTTAAGCCAAAGTGCCACTTCTGGCTTTTTCTGAGTAGTTTATTGGAGATAAGAGTCTCATGGACTTTTCTGTCCAGGCTGGCTTCAAACCATGATCCTCATATCTTAGCCTCCTGAGTAGCTTAGATTACAGGTGTGAACCACCAGCATCCGGCTAAACCTCCTACTTTCCTTGACTTATGAAGACCTTGTCCTATTTCCAGATTCATCCATAAAGATGTCCAGATCTCTTCTCAGACTACCACTAACATTGTTATATTCCCCTCACTCTTACTCCCTCCTCCTCTTACAAGGACCCTTGTTATGACATTGGGCCCTAAAATAATCCAGGGTAACCTCCCTATATAATGGTTCATCACCCTCCAATCTTCAAAGTTCTCTGCCATATATGGCCATGTATTCACAGGTTCTATCCAGAAATTGGGGTATGGCATCTTGAAAGAGCCATTATTCTGTCCACTATATTTCTATTTGATTTTGGTACCAATGAATTCACTTTATCTGGGATAAACAAAAAGATTTGTCATCAGAGTACTGTTGAGTTTATTGAATCATTGGAGTAGCTGGAAAAGATTCTCAGAGATGTTCTTTGAGCCAGCCTGACAAGGAAGCTGTTTTAGTGTTTAGTGGAGCTGCTTCTGTCGCCTCAGCTAATGCCCTCTGCCACCTGCTCTACAAGAATCCTGACATTCAAGCTTTGAAAGCTGATAAATAGCTTTAGCAAAATAGCAAGTCACAAAATTAACCCACAAAAATCAGTATACCAGGGCTGGGAATGTGGCTCAGTGTTGGAGTGCTTGCCTAGCATGCATGAAGCCCAGGTTTGATTCCTTAGTACCAGATAAACAGAAAAAGCTGGAAATGGTGCTCTGGCTCCAGTGGTAGAGTGTTAGCCTTGAGCAAAAGAAGCTCAGGGACAGAGGCCACGCCCTGAATTCAAGCCCCAGGACTGGCAAAAAAAAAACTTTTTTTTTTTAAATCACTATGCCAACAATGTATAAAGCACCAGAAGGAAATCAAGAAAACAATTCCACTTGTAATATCCTCGAAAGAAAGAAAGAAGGCAGGAAGGAAAGAAAGAAACCCAAACAAGGAAGCAAAAGACCTCTATAATGAAAACTATAAAAATCTGAAAGAAGAAATTGAAAGTGACATCATGAACTGGAAAGGCCTCCCATGTTCTTGAATAATAATGACCATATTACCAAATGTGATCTATGCAATTTAATGCAATCTCCATTATTATAATCCCAATGACCTTCACTGAGATAGAGAAAACAACGCACCGGGCAGGGTGGCGCGCGCCTGTAATCCCAGCTACTCAGAAGGCTGAGCCCAGAGGATCGCTTGAATCCAGGAGTTCTGGGCTGCAGTGCGCTATGCCGATCGGGTATCCGCACGAAGTTCGGCATCAATATGGTGACCTCCTGGGAGAAAACAACCCAAAAATTCATATGCAACAACAAAAGACCTTGAATAGCCAAAGTAATTTTAGGCAAAGAAAGCAATACTGGCAGTATCACAATCTCAGACCTCAAGCTCTACTATAGAGCTATAATAACAACAATTCGGTACTGGCACAAAAATAGGCCCAAAGATCAATGGGAGAATCCTGATAATAGTTGTTCTGCCTTCAGTTAGAGGCCTTCTCTTTGTCTAGTTCTGCAGAAATACTGACAACAGAAAAAAGTCTGAAAAGTGTGGGATAATAGACAGTACTGTCTACACAGTGTCATGAGACAAAATGAACTCATCTTTAAGAAGCATATTAGGTGATGCAAGAAGTTATTCCTTCCCTGATATTGAGATTCAATTGGATACCTGAAAGAACTGAAGGAGAAAACCATAAAGATAATCTCAGGGAAGGGCATTCCATGCAGAGGGATCAGCCAGTTATAAAGAAGATCTTTAGCTAGGCAGTGCTGGCTCATGCTTGTTATTCTAGCTACTTGGGCAGGTTGAGATCTGGGGATCTTGGTTTGAAGTCAGTCTGGGCAGAAAAGGTCATAAGACTTACTTCCAGTTAAGCACCAAAAAAGTTGAAAGTAGAGCTATGGCTCAAATAGTAGAACTCAAGCAAAAAAGCTCAGGCAGCACCCAAGCCCTGATTTCAAGTCCCTTGACCAACTTAAACAAAAAAAGAAAGAACTTGCTGGTGCCAGTGGCTCATGCCTGTAATCCTATCTGCTCAGGAGGCTGAGATCTGAGGATTTTTTTTTGTGGTTCAAAACCAGCCCCAGGGAAAGTCTGTAAGTCTCTATTTCTATTCATCTCCAGTTAACCACCAGAAAACTGGAAGTGGTGCTGTGGCTCAAAGTGGTAGAGCACTCACCTTGAGCAAAAAGAGCTCAGGAACAGACACCACCTGAGCCCCATGTTAAAGCCCCACTGCTGACAAAGTCAAAAATAGAGCTGTGGCTCAAGTGGTACTAGTGCTAGCCTTGAGCAAAAAGAAGCTCATTGACAATTCGAAGGCCCTGAGTTTGAGCTCCAGAGCTAGCACATTAAAAAAAGAAAAAAGAACAGAAGGAAGAAATCGGGCTGGTTTGTTCCTATCTCTTGGAGAGGCCTGCTAGGAACAGGACTTCTAAAAGGCAAAATGTCTGGAAGGCTATGGTGCAAGGCCATTTTTGCTGGCTATAAGCAGGGTTTCTGGAACCAAAGGGAGCACACGGCTCTCTAAAATTGAAGGCATTTATGCCCGAGGTGATACCAATTTCTACTTGGGCAAGAGATGTGCTTATGTATACAAAGCAAAATACAACACAGTGACTCCTGGCAGCAAACCTAACAAAACCAGAGTAATCTAGGGAAAGGTAACGTGTGCCCATGGAAACAGTGGCATGGTTTGCGCCAAATTCCGAAGCAACCTTCCTGCTAAGGCCATTGGACACAGAATCCGTGTGATGCTGTACCCCCTCCAGAATATAAACTAATGAAAATTAAATAAAGTAAATCTGTGCTCTTGTGAAAAAAAAGAAAAGAAAAGGAAGACTTCTAGTAAAATAGCCTTTGACTCTGGCAATCAAGAAATTTTAGTTTTACTAAAGTTTAGTTACAAAAAATTTTTCTCAGCTGGGTGCTGGTAGCTCATGCCCATCATCCTAGGTACGCAGGAGGCTGAGATCTGAGGATCATGGTTCAAAGCCAGCCTGGGCAGGAATGTCCGTGAGACTCTTGTCTCCAATAAACCATTCAGAAAACCAGAAATGGTGCTGTGGCTCAAGTGGTAGAGCACTAGCCTTGAGCTGAAGAACTGAGGGCCAGTGCCCAGGCCCAGAGTTCAAGTATACAACTGCCAAAAAAAAAAAATTCTCCCTCTCAGAAAGCTAAGGGAAGGTGTGCTTTTTTCCAGAGAATGTTATGAATATTACAGTTCATCAGATTTAAAGCACTAAAAATTTTAAGACATATCCTTATTTGTTTTTTGGTTTTGGGGTTTTGTTTTTGTTTTTTGCCAGTCATGGTACCTGAATTCTGGGCCTGGGCACTGTCCCTCAGCTCTTCAGCTCAAGGCTAGTGTTCTGCCACTTGAACCACAGCACCACTTCCAACTTTTTCTGCTTATATGGTGCTGAGGAATCGAACCTAGGGCCTCATGCATGCAAGGCAAGCACTCAACCACAGAGCCACCTTCCCAGCCCCATATCCTTATTTTAAAAACCAATAAGAAGAAAAATTTTACCAATTAAATCATAAATTGGGGCTGGGAAAGTGGCTCAGTGGTAGAGCACTTGCCTTGCATGCATGAGGCCCTGGGTTTGATTCCTCAGCACCACATATGCAAAAAGAAAAAAGCCAAAAGTGGCGCTGTGGCTCAAGTGGTAGAGCGCTAGCCTACCACTTCACTTGAGCTGAAGAGCTGAGGGACAGTGCCCAGGCTCAGAGTTCAGGCCCCACGACCAGACCCCCCAAAAAAATCATAAAGGATCAAAATGAATAGATAGGATAGATCTCAGTGGTTGCCTTCATTTGACTGTTGGTCTTTGATTTCAGGACTGTGGAAGATTTGAAAAATAATGAAAGCCAGTGGAAAGATTCTCCCCTGGCAACTAGACATCGTGAAATGTTGAAACGCTGTAAAACTCAGCTGAAGGTTTGTACAGTTAATTGGAATAATTAGAGACTAGCCTTATAATAATAATAGTAATTTTCCTGCCAGAGTATGTGCCCTGAGTGAATAGTGCAGTGTTTTATTTTTTTCATTATTTTACTTGAAGATAAAAATAGGCCATTTGTAAATCTATGTGTAATCATTTCAATTTTCATACAGAACATACACATGCATATATAGTGATGATGTACACTCTTAGGGGCTTTCCTTAATCTCAGATTAACATCGCTACCCCTTCCTTGTGTGTGCAGAACACCTTCTGATCCCACCCACATACTCCAGTACTACTTCTGGCATTGTGGAAAGATCTCTCTACTTAGCCCCTCACTTCAATCTTACTTGAAAATGATCCATCTTGAAGAACCTAACTATGAATGGAAATATTTTTCTGGTGAGACTTAGCTAAAAACAAATGCTGGCTGACCTTTATAAGGAAAGCATAGAAGATAGCAAATTCATGATTTCAGGGATTTGGGGTTGGGGGGAGAGGGGTGCTAGTAGGCTAGACTGCTTCAAGAAAAGGAATACACTAGGGGCTCTTAACTGGATGCACAGTCTTCCTAAATATTCTAAGATGTGTTCCCAGGGATGTGTACATTGTTTCAATCTGTATGTCAGTGTGTATGTACATATGTGTGTTACCCTCACACAGTTCTCTGAGGTAAGTATTACAGCCCTAGCGGGCAGCTCATACATGGTGATGCTGGAATTCAGATGTGATTTGTCTGGCTTTTTTCCACTAACTGTCCTGGCACCCGAAGGGCTTCCCCATCAACCCAAGTTATTGAAATATGACAGTAAGAACTAACCTTCTTGAGCACTAACCGTGTGCTAGACTCTGTGCTCAGTGGTTTGCATGGCATACCTTTTGTTTTTCTCAGGAAAAGAAAGATCTTGAGACCCAACCAGCATCCTTTAGCTAGAGAGGCAGGGCCAGCCCTAGGTCTCTGGCTCCGTTCCCTGCCCAGTCACGCTGAGGGCCTTGGCTCCTGACTAATCTCTGGGTGGGGGCACACCTACTTCCACAGAAACTGGTACGGTGCAAGGCCTGTGCTGACGCTGGCTTACTTGACGAGAGCTTCCTGAGAAGATGTCTGAATTTTTATGGCCTTCTCATTCAGCTGCTGCTCCGCATCCTGGACCCTGCATACCCCGAGTGAGTGTGCTCTTTCCTCTTTGCCTGTCTCTACTTGTCTGGGCTGTGTTGTGTCAGTTGTTCTTCAGAGTCCATAACAAAGCCAAAACTTCTTAAGAATTTGTTTCTCAGGTTCAAGGTTATATTTATATACTATTAATTCATTTATATTAATGGCTATTTTTCCCTACAGTTAACAGCTATCAGAGGGGTGAATATTAGCTTCTGTTTTTAAGGCTATGACTATATTATTTTTTTAATTTGCTATAGGAAATGGAAGTTTATAAATTACAAACTAATTCTGGAAATAACAGATCCAGGAAAAATGCCCAGCTAATTCAGAGAATAAGCAAAGGACATTCCCAATCACTTCATTTTATTGTGTGTTTATATTTATTATGAAGTCTATAGGTCACTGTTGGTGAGAGTGACCCCCACCCCTTATAGGAATGGAAAATGTTAAAAAATACACTTGTGGCTCTTTTGGCTTATTTTAGTTTGTTGTACAAAATGACCATTACCTTTTTGTTTCCTTCTAATTTTGTTTATTTCACTAACTTTGAACAAGAAGTCAAGACAAGGGGAAACATTTCACACACCCTGAGCATTACTCTTCATTCATTTCTAGTTGTGGTTACTTTACCTGTATAATTGTTACAGGTTGTGTTAGAGGATTAGGATACTTTCCTTAAGGAATATATTATTGATTAATAGTATGATAATTTAATATTTTGATGTGTTATAATTTAATTTTGTAAATTATGCTCTTTTTTCCTCTTTGACAGCATAACACTGCCTTTAAATTCAGATGTCCCCAAGGTATTTGCAGCGTTGCCTGAGTTTTATGTAGAAGATGTTGCTGAATTTTTATTTTTTATTGTTCAGTAAGTGCCTTTGACACATTATATAATTCTAATATGTTTTTATATGTAATATGCACATATTATTGTAAACATTGTTGCAACTCTCTATTTTGGGCCTGGAATTTTTTTTTCTATTTATTTATTTTTATTTGTATTTGTATTGTCAAAATACCATACAGAAGAGTTACAATTACATGGGCAAGATAATGAGTACATTTCTTTTTTTTGTTGATGTTGTTGTTTTGTTGGCCATGGGCCTGAACTCTGGGCCTGGGCACTGTCCCTCAGCTCTTCAGCTCAAGGCTAGCTCTCTACCACTTGAGCCACAGCACCACTTCCTGTTTATATGAGGAATCGAACCCAGAGCCTCATGCATGCAAGGCAAGCACTCTACCACTGAGCTACCTTCCCAGCCCCATGAGTACATTTCTTATCAAGCATTATTGCCTCCTCCAGGCCTGGAAATTTTTTGGGTTTTTTTTTTATGGTTGTTGTTTTGTTTTTTGTCAGTTGTGGGGCTTGAACTGAGGGCCTGGGTGCTATCCCTGAGCCTCTTTGTGTTCAAAGCTAGCACTCTACCACTTGAGTGACAGCGCCACTTCCATTTTTTTTTTTTTTTTTT